AAATTAAATTAAATTAAATTAAATTAAATTAAATTAAATTAAATTAATTAAATTAAATTAAATTAAATTAAAATTATTATTTATTATTAATTATTTATTAAAAAATTTTTATTTTTTATTTTATAATTTTCCGGCCAAATTTTGCGGGGTGGGGGGGAGGGGGGGAAGAAAGCTCACCCGCCTCGCGCCTACCTCTCCTCCTGCAAATTATTTATTTTTTATTAATTTTCCAGCCAAATTTTGCGGGGAGGGGGGGAAGAAAGCTCGCCCGCCTCACGCCTACCTCTCCTCCTGCAAATGCAGCAGCGGCGGCAGCGGTGGCGGGGGCAGAAGCAGCAGCGGCGGCGAGGGGGGCAGAAGCAGCAGCGGTGGCAGCGGCAACAGCAGGAGGTGGCGGGGCGGGACTTTTGGGCTGCGGCTGCCCGCCTTTTCTGTTGCTCGCCTCACCCCGCCTCGCACCTACCTCTCCTCCTGCAAATGCAGCAGTGGTGGTGGCGGCGGCGGCAACAGCAGGAGGTGGCGGGGCGGGACTTTTGGGCTGCGGCTGCCCGCCTTTTCTGTTGCTCGCCTCGCCCCGCCTCGCACCTACCTCTCCTCCTGCAAATGCAGCAGCGGTGGCAGTGGCGGCGGTGGCGGGGGCAGAAGCAGCGGCGGCGGGGGGGCAGAAGCAGCAGCGGCGGCAGCGGCGGTGGGGGCAGAAGCAGCAGCAGTGGTGGCAGCAACAGCAGGAGGTGGCGGGGCGGGACTTTTGGGCTGCGGCTGCCCGCCTTTTCTGTTGATCGCTTCGCCCCGCCTCGTGCCTACCTCTCCTCCTGCAAATGCAGCAGCAGCGGTGGTGGGGGCAGAAGCAGCAGCGGCAGCGGGGGGGCAGAAGCAGTGGCGGCGGTGGGGGCAGAAGCAGCAGCGGTGGCGGCGGCAACAGCAGGAGGTGGCGGGGCGGGACTTTTGGGCTGTGGCTGCCTGCCTTTTCTGTTGCTCGCCTCACCCCGCCTCGCGCCTGCCTCTCCTCCTCCTCCTCGCTGGATCTTTCATGAAGGTTGGGGTGGGCGTTGGGCCGCATTACGAGGTGACCTGGGCCGCATGCGGCCCGTGGGCCGCGGGTTGGACAAGCCTGATCTAGATTATAGAGTGATCTACAGTGGCATTGCTCTTGTCAGGAAGAAGGACTGTAAGAATATCAAGATGGGCCTTTGAGAGAGGAATGTCACTTTTCTCACTAGAGACTTAAGCATGGTCACAAAGCACAAAGAGACTTCAACTGGCTTGGGCTGCAGCCAATCTGTGACCAGGTTTTTCTGCAGAAATGCCCAACCATTGCACTTCCCAGAGGGAAGGGAGAAAAAGAAAATTCATATCAGAGCCAGAATTTTTTGTGGAAACACAAAAGAAGCTACCAGGAAGAACAGAGATTTCTGGAGTATATTCCAGAACCAGACAATAGCCAAACTAATTTCCCTAACTTCAACATGGAGCTCACAGGTCTTTACATCAGCAATAAAATCTTAATGGACTTCCAAGGCAAAGCATGAATACCCCAAGCACTTTGGGCTCAGCCTTGAGGAATCTCTCCAAAGGACCCTTTTGGACGACTTGTTGAGGAGCACTGGTGGAAATCCCAAATTGCTGAGTTGCTCCAGATGCCTGAAGAGCAACACTGGGCAATCCAGGGGCCGTTTGGATTATGTTCGCTCCATTAGAGGGGATGACAACTACGGTTCCATTGGCCATGCTTGCTGGAAGTGTTGCCACAACTAAGTTATCTGCAAACAAACAAGTGAGGAAAAGTTAATGTATAACATCAAGGTGGCAGATTCTGGTCCTTCTCCTTAATTTCACTTTATGATATAATATTTGCCTGCAGTAAAATTGAAGAACATTGCCAGAAGGGTTCAGAGAGCAGGGTAGTAAAAATATACAACTTCATCTGGGATAAAAATCTTTCCTTTCCCAGAAGCTCCTTTGTTGAGAAGGGAAATGTTTTCAAGGAAACCCCCCCCCCCCCCCCAAAAAAAAAAAAAAAAAAAAAAAAAGCTCCAGTCGCCTTTGGAAAAGCACTTTTGGGACAACTGTGACCTGAAGGATTGAGAATTTCCATAGATACCAGGGAGAAAAGGTTAATCAGAACAGAGAGAACACAACATTTTTCAATGCAAAAGGTCTCTTTCTAATTTTAGCACAATCTCAGATCCACCCATCTAAATGTCATTTCCCATTTGGGCAAGGTTTTATTGTACTTGTCCTCTTGTCCTATTACTGGCAGAAGGATCTAAAGGCATCAGTCTTTGCCACCTTCCAGCAAGTTGATTCTAATTTGGACATAGGTTACTGGGAAGGACACAAGACCAGGATCTGCAGCCCACATTTGCTTCATTGATGTGGTGAAGTTTCTTATCAGACAAACAATTGGGCCAGCAGACTGAGTCTTCTGACAAAACTCCGGGCAATCCCAGAAAGCAGAGAAGCGATTCAGTAAAGTCCTAACTGCCAATGACATGTAAGAACGCTTCAATTTTTTAAAACACTGGCCCAATGGCCCGAATTAATCCCATCAGTTAGGAAGAGGAAGGTACTTCCTTTTTGAGCTGTTTAAATTGGAAGTCAGAGTGAAGCCAAAACCGACCCATCTACTCTCCTTTGAATTGTGAACTTCCAATATTGAATTTTTGTTAAGTTTACATGGCTCCTTTGCCCGCGTTGGTCATTTCCATCACAAGATTGACTACAAACTCTTTCCTGTCCGCTAATTCTCCTCCGAAGTCCTCCCAATCTAGAAGACCTGCGGTGGCTGATAAAACCGCGGCTGGATGGCTGCAGGGGAGAACCGGAAGGTACGGGATGGTCCACGTATTAATTCCATATTAATTTTTTAAAAAATTAACCAGGAACTACTCACGACAACCGCTCAAGACGAAGTAAAGGGAAGCCTCTGGAAAAACGAAAGTAACATAACAGGAACAAGTGGAGGGTGGAGTTCACCCGACTACTAAATGGAGGGATTTGCTCACCTTTATCGAGGTCCGCAGAAAAAAAACTTCTTTCTTGGCCCTTTAAACTGTTGCAACTAATAACAGTTTGGGTCCCGGAACCTTCTGCTTGTTCCGAGATGAGAGGAAAATTATCCAAGTTTATAAAGTCCTGTTATTCCCAGGCTAAAACAAATTCGCTGAAATCAAACGCATCCCTCGACGTCTCCTTCGCTTCTCTCTCGTTTTCAACCTCTCGGAGGTTTCCACAACCTTTGCAGGAATCGCCAGAAAGAAAAAGAAGGGGACGCGCATTGCGACCACAGCCTCCTCATCCCCCCCCCCCCCCGCTCTTTAAGTGGCTCTCCTCCAGCGGATTTCCCCCTCTTCTCCTTTCCCTCCACTGGCGCTCTCTGGATATGATACCAAGCAGATGCTAAATGCAAGTCTCTTCCCTGCATTGCTAAAGTTAGCCTGGTTTATTTAATCCATTATGTTTTCTTTTACATTTATTTAAATTGAACGTTTGCCCAACCCATTGAGTGTGGCTGGTGCATTTAGACCAGAGGTCTTCAAACTTGACAGCTTTAAGACCACAAGACTTCAACTCCCAGAATTCCTCCTCCAGTCATGTTAGCTCAGGAATTCTGGAAATTGAAGTCCACAGATCTTAAACTTGCCAAGTTTGAAAACCCTTGATTTAGACCTGAGGTCCTCAAACTTGGCAACTTTAAGACTTGTGGAATCCCAGAATTCCTGAGTTAACATGACTGGAGGAGGAATTCTGGGAGGTGAAGTCCACAAATCTTAAAGCTGTCAAGTTTGAAGACTCCTGATTTAAACTGTTGGAAGAAATTTTCCTGAGTTCGTTCCCAGCTGGGAAATGAATTTTGAAGCAGCTGCCAGAAAGTGGGATTCTTTAATGAAGTGTTGGAAGATTTACCTTAACAGCCCTCACCTTGACAAAACTAACACCTCTTCCAAACCCATTTTTATGGTAGCAGATAATCTGAAGAGAAATTTCAGAATGCATTGTTGCCAAATATATTTACAATTCAAAATTTTGTTTCCAATCAATCTGGCCTTTTAACTAATTTGTTTCCAAACTAAAGTTCCAGTCATAGTAGTTAAGCATTCATGTCTCCCCTCTAAGATCAAATCTGCTATTACAACATTGTTCTGAAAAACATTTGCAAAAGTTGTGAGTGGGGGATTTTCTTTGATAAACATTTCTACAAACTCAGCTAAATGCAGACGTGCTTAGTTGAGATCAGTTAAATCAGGGGTCACCAACCTTTTGGACCTCAGGGACCACCAAACTCATAATTTTAAATCCCGGGGACCACTAATATGAATTTTGACTAGCGTTGGCTCTGGGGAAATCTGGGAGTTGAACTCCACATGACTTAAACAGGCCAAAGTTGCAAAACCCTGAGCTAACTCATAGAAGTTAAGATTGCAGTAACAAATGAAGCACAAACTTATTGCAATGATATTAAATGTCTAAGTTTATTTGAGTTCAATTGAAGGTAATACATGTAAAAGGCGAAAGATTTATACGATCTGAAGAGAAACCAGAGTATAGAGAAATAAAACAATGAATGTTTTTATTAAAAACAGAAAAAGTGTATAACTACAATATTATATAAGTATTCTTATTAGAAAATGGGACAATATATTTATAGTACTAGCTATAGTTCTTATTCTTTGTAAATAACAGACTCTGATAAAATGCTGTATTGAAAATGTTTATGTATTATTACTATTATTATTATTATTATTATTATTATTATTATTATTATTATTATTATTATACACAAAAATGACAGTATACACAGCAGACAAGATAACCTTGCTGGATTTCGTAGCACAAATCACTAGTTGAACACTTCCCAAGTGTTTAGGACTGCGTGATGTATCAGCGGATTATGCGAGCAGATCCCAGTAAGGTGGCCTTCTGCAGCTGACCAATGGTGATCTTGTCAGCACCAATTGTTTTTGCCTAGGTCTTTAGGCACAGCACCCAGTGTGCCGAGTACCACTGGAACCACCTGCACTGGTTTATGCCAGAGTCTCTGCAGTTCGATTCTCAAGTCCTGATATTTGGTGACTTTTTCAAGTTGTTTCTCATCGATTCTGCTATCACCAGGTATGGCAATGTCGATGATCCACACTTTTTTCTTCTCCACAATCGTGATATCCGGGGTATTGTGTTCCAGAACTTTGTCAGTCTGTATATCTGTATTCCCCTCACGGGGTGCCGCCTTGGCGTGGCGGGGGGCTTAACTGTTCCAATGAAGCTGAGAGCTGTGCTGATGGTAGTACAAACTACCAGCAGGTCCAACCATGTCAGAGAGGTCTAGGCCGAGGAGCAGAACTGAGTGCACCCAACAACCCATGCAATGAATCATGGTGAAACACAACCGAACGAAGCCTATACTGGCTCAGTTGTCGCCTGGGTTAACAAGGACCACGTCGGGTGCTGGGGAACCTGGGCATCCGTTGACAAGTGGGCTACAGGCCATGGGTCCCAAAGCTGAGCAACCAGGGCATGGGCCTGCAGAGCTACTGGAAGCTGAACAACCCCAGAAGCGGCAGAAATACACCATGTCAGAGAACCGCACTGTAATGAAATGCTACTACAAAGCAGAACCAGAAAAACGAGGCTACCAAAAAAGGATTAATAACAATAACAATAACAATAACAATAACAACAACAACAACAACAATAATAATAATAATAATAATAATAATAATAATAATAATAATAATAATAATAATAATAATAATAATAATAATA